AGAGAGTGTAGGCCTTATAAAAGCGTAATAGTGTCCACCATGTACTCCTCCACTATGAACTAAGACACTGCAGACAAATAAGAGATAACACGTCAAGCTGGAAAATGTAGCAGCAACCAAACGAAATGAAAGCTTTCATGTCTTTTACTCTCATAGAATGCTAATTAACTGTGCATGCACAGGGTAAATCTACGCTACATAAAGCAGGTCATTGTGAAGACCTATCAGATAATCAGATAAAAACTAAATCATCTGACCTAGTAGATTCCAACGGTAGTTTCTATAGAGAAGTTATCTGTGAGTGCAAGCTCCTGTGGAATCTACTACATCTGAATTGAAAGATAAAACAAGTACCTGTGAAGTGTGTAAAGGTTGCGGACACTCCTGTCAGCATCAGGGGACAAATACTTTCCATCCTCTCTATCAAGATCCAGTTGAAGAGGAAATTCATACCGATCATTTATCTATCAATAAAAGCTACATCAGCACTCACAAATCAGGGCACCAAACGAGAAATTACGATTCATGAGCACTTCCTAGGCACATGTGAGTTTAGAAAACTAACCTTCACCATGGTGTCCCTCATAAAGTCGTATTCAAACCTCTTGAGCTGGAGTTGAAGAACTGGTGGAAAGTCGATGAAAAGAACACCTTTTTTTGCATCCTGAAATAATAGATAACAGATATAAAGTTCTTCCATAATAAGACTCAAACAAGAGGACTACATGTGTAATAATAACAGTTAGATCAGCGGTAATTAACTTGGCTTAAAAGACGATACTAGTTTAAAATGTTTAGAAAGAATGAAGACAACCAACCTGTAAACCATGTCCTTCTGCATGATATTTGTTGTCTCCTTCAAGACGTTCAACTTCAACATACTTGTCAAAAGAGGCATAAACATCCTTGCACCCTTTAACATCCAGCTGAAGGTCTGCCATACGATAAGAACATGTCAATAAATTTGATGTGATAGAATAAGACAACAGAGTGCAGTTGTATAATACCGTACCGTAAAATGATTCTTTCCGAGTAGATTTGTAGTCTACATTTATGCACTCAATATAATTCATATGGTGACCCTCAAATAGCTGTTGTATAGTTCCCTCCACAACAGTTCCCTATAGAGAAAGGAAAAAAGATCAAAACAAGAAACACCAACTGAGAAGGAAATCACAGCCAAACAGCAAAAGAAAAATAACCTTCATTTTGTCCTCAAGCTTTTCGCAAAGAACACGATTGAGTTCTTGGACATCATGTTGCATGAAAGAATCATATGTATCCCAACCAAACGACTTAGTCAGCCCTTTTGTTGCGACACTGGTATCGTTGTATTGGAGCTTGTAAAACAAACTTTGGAGAGCCAAAGGTATACTTGCTGTGGGTGCATCGTTTTCAGTTGTGGGCATGTGGTATACAGCCTACAAGCATCATTAAAATTCAGTTGTATTGGTTTAGAATTCAGTGAGTACCCATATGATTTAACAAACTGAAGAAGAAAACAAGAATATATCTAACCTTTCTGAAGTAAGGTATGTGGTACAGCGTCTGTAGGAGAGAATTCATGTAACAAGTTGCACCTTGGTTCTTAAGTCCAACATAACCAGTCTCCTTTTTAGAGTCATATGACCAGTAATCAAGAACCTTACGTACAGCTACTTCAGCTTCAACCAAAACAGTGTCATTCATAAGATATCCTCTTCCAGGATCATACAGTTCGCTGAGAGGCATGAATGACGTAAATCCCCAATCGCTTTCTCTTGCATTGAATTGATGTTGCGTCTCTGCGCCACAAATAGGAGTCATAATGTCAGTGAAAATTTTGTAACGAAAGGTCACTTACACCTACACTATGAGAATACTAAGTTCGCCGGAAAGAGTGAATATTTCAGTCTGATAGAGAAGTATAAAGGGTGCATAACAGGAATATCTAATTTTCACAGAGCGCGTTCAGGTAAAGTTTAAAACAGCAATAAAATGATCATATTCAAATAAGTAAAACAGTTTCAAGTGATCCTCTTCTTCCAGCCCAGCATTCAAACTTTCGCATAATCACAACTTTCCTATGCTAAGGCATTACATGCGCATGCATGCACTCAGAATCCATATTTTGTATATACATCATTAATAAATTACACGTACCCTTTCTAATGGTATATCTGCTGTGCAATTGATTGACCACAGCCAGACTGAACTGAGCATATCTGCTCCAACCGTACGGCAAACTCGCAGCATCAGAGACATCCAAGTACATGGACAAATGGTCGACATTATTCCCTTTCGGGAAAATCAATATGCGCCTGCACAAGCAAATACAAATGGTGTCAGCCAATCAAAGAGGCATATTCGACAAACGATGGCAACAAGAGAGTACGCTACAACTAGATAAACCCCCTTACCATTTGTAACCTCCAACGACAAATACATCGGAGTAATGCTTCCTGGTGTTTTGCCTAGAGAAATTTGGGATAGTCCATGTGAATTTCAGAGTGGGAGGCTCCTCAGCTGGCAGGCTCTCCACGGTACTCGCAGCAGTCTCAGCTTGGGAAACTACAAATGCATCAATAGTTGGTGGAGTATAAACAGCAGGAAAAATGACAAAACCCTAAGCAGTGTATACCATCACTCCGACCCTCGAGCTCTATCGCATCCATTCCATCCAATTAGAGCCACACGGAAACGATAAATTTAAGCAGCGGATCAAACTGAATGAAACCAAAATAGTCTTACCTTCCATAGGCTCAGCAGGGGCGTCGACCAAATCTGAATGCGGTACGAGCATCTCCTCATCCTCTTGCTGCTGCTAAACATGAACAGACAACCATGAAGAACAAATAAGACTTCTGACCCCCAAAAAAAAACCCTAATCTCGCCCCACGGTGATCAGAACAAAAAAAAATAGAAACCACAATCACTAGATACAAGACCAAAAACAATCATCGCAGCACCAGCAGGATGATTATCAACCGCTTCAAATTCAAATCAAATCTAAGAAGAAAAAACTAAGGGATCAACTAAACAAACAATCAGTGGCAGATTCACGGCGAATACACAGAGAGCCACGAAGGGAAACACCAAATTAACAACAGAGGCAGAGAATGATGAATCGGAAATTACATCAACCGGAGGCGGAGTCATCATAGTCATTGGCCGGAGAAGGATTGACGGTGGGGATCGAGAAACGCAAGAGAGGACGAGCAGAGAAAAAATCAAAGAGAAGGCAAAGTGACTAGGGAGAAATACAATCGCTCATTCTACTCTTTCTCGGCTTCGATATGATTATTATGATATTTTCGAGAATTTTAGGGGCTATTACTGTAATTTCAGTACGCTCCGTACTCAGATTTATATTTTCTCCGAGGTTGGGTCCTTTCTAACGAGACAGACCAATGAGATAGCGACACGTAAAAGCCTTAGGACACTGCTGCTGTCATAAAAAACTCTCGACGTGGCTGCTTGGAAGATTAGATTTTCACCTGACGTCGTGGGACTTCTTTGTTCTTTGTTTCTTTTTTCCTTTGGTCTTTGTTTTTTTTTCTTTGACGGTAGTGAAAATCTATCTTGAGATTTCTATCATTATGCTCTAAAACTTCCTAAAAGTTTGTTCTGATTACTTGTAGAAGTTATATGTATTTTCTTCCCTTTAGTGATGGTAATCTTTCTCTGTCATAGACTAGATAAACACATAAAACATTGGGTGTACAATACATTGGGCCTGGATAAATGTAGATCAATCGAAAGTTGTTTGCCTTCAAGTTTTCATCTCTCTTTCCTAAATTGGGCCTTAACAAAACTGGGCCTTTTGAACATTGAGAATGGCATTTTTTACCCAAAATAAAAGTTAATGCCAATCATGATCTTAACTAATTTTTAAGTTAGTAAAAGATTCTTGCACAATATTTAAATTCGATTTATGAGGTTTATCTGTTACTTTATCTTGTCTACATATAATTCAACATCTCCATCATCATCAGACGTGCACTAAGATTAGGTTAAACTTGTGTCGTCACCAATCGACTTTATATTTCCAAGTTATCTACTTTCTTTGTCTGGTTTTGTGAGATGACCGCTGAACAATAAATTAAAAACTGCTAAGCAGGGATTAAATCAATCTAAACGGACGGAAATGTTAGACTTACCGGATAAATCGACGTGGACAAGTCACCTCTCCTTGCGTCCCTTTTACTTTTATCTTCACCCAACCAAACTTTGAACTTCAATACCATTTTCATAAATTTTGAAACTCAACCGTTACATTTGGTCGAATTCAGCCATTTTTTAAACAGTTTTTATTTCCTAGTCTTTAAATATTGGTGAACACTTGTACACCTGAGGTTACACTTGTTCACTACAGTTTTCATTAAACTAAAGTCAAGTAATATAATATGTACTGTTTTGTTTTTTTGAAATTCCTAGCAAATAAAAAACTATGACTTGGTTTGCAGTTTACAACTTTTACAGTTTAAAAACTAAAACCCAAATTTGATGTAGTAGAATAACAAAGTTTATTGCAGTGTGGGTGGGTGGAAATTTCATAGTCCCTAGTTAATGTGGAATCTAATCATATAGTATACAATAGATCCCAAATACCCAATGTGAGGTTATAACTTAAAAGCTAACTCAAATTTGATGTCTAATATCATACGGTAATGAATTAACAGTTGTTTACACTTTAAATCTTTTTCGGCTTCAGTTTTTTTGAATCTTCCATGTGGGGTTGAAAAATCACATTCAGATGTTCTAAGAAAAGAAGATAAATAAATATAATAACAGAATAGGTACTCGAAACATTAGAAAAAAACTTTAAAAGAGGATAGAGAGAAGGAAAGGTGGTGACGACCTATGCCAATATAACTTTTCCACAGAGAGAGAAAAAAATAACAATAATTAACAAACAATGAAAAAGAAAGGTGAACAAGACGCACTAAGGATATAAGCTGCTTCAGCACAAAGGGAGAGAAAGAAAGAGCCGAAAAAGAAAGAGATAAAAAATAGAGAGAATGCAGAGATTAGCTCCATTGATGGAAGAACCAACGGATCAAGAAGAACAAGAAGAAGAAAGAGGAGGAAGATCAACGAGATCGAAGTCATGGAAAAAATGGATAAAGGCACAATTGCAGTCCATGGTCTTTCACAAAAAAACAGATATGAAGGTGCTTCTGAGTGTTCTTGGATGTCCTCTCTTCCCTGTCCCTCCTCTCTCCAAAGTCTCTCTTCAACAGGTATTTATTTATACGCCGTATATGTACGTGATATTTACATATATCTATGTATTTATACTGTTTATGAAATTCATCTATTTCAACTAACTAAAGAAAATATTTTGGTCGGTAACATTAAATTGGATTTATGATTTTTTTGTATATGTATTGTCGTCCCAAATGTCCTTTGTATTTATTAGAACAAACGTTTTGGACGTGCTTTTAATTTGGTGAGAAGGGAGAACTACTTAAGTTGACATTAAGTTTTTTATCCATGGAAATCGATGGAAATTACTTGACACCTTATCAATGTTTTTTGCTTTCTTCCATTTGATCTTCCGATAAAACATTTTTTTATTGGTTCATATTATTAAATTTTTAAAGATTATGTAGTCTTCTTTATGATATACTTTTCAAAGTTTAATTACGGAGAATATATATTGCTAGGTGTACTATTTAAAGTTAGCTATATTATCTATTTATAGCCCTTTTTATTTTCAAAAGACTTCGTGCATAGATGTGAGTTTTGCCCAAAATCGGTAGACAAGATGTAGGTCTCTGTCACATAACAAGACTATACCTCGGTGTATATAAAAGCCAGAAATATAAATTGAATCATGTAAAAAAGAAAAAGAATAATAGTAAATGCAAGAGTCTATCACGAGATCCATACATAATTCCAGGAGACTCTTGTGTTTTCAGATCTGAATATATAATTTTATTTTCTTATGATTTTCTGAATTATTTATTTTCATCTTAAAATAGTAACCTTTTGAATGATGAAAAGGTTCAGATCTATGCAAATATGTGCATGTAAATCATACTAAATCTATCATTATTGTGATGATTAAAGGTATCATCATCAGCACAATACATAATACAACATTTCGCCGCAGCAACGGGATGCAAAAAACTCGCAAGCGAAATTAAAAATACTTTTGTGACCGGAAAAATTACAATGACTATGGTGGATGATCTTACTGGCTCAGCCGCAGTTGGTAGTGCGTCGTCTGTGTCACATAAAGGATGCTTCGTCATGTGGCAAATGCTACCAGAAAAATGGCTCATCGAACTTGTTAGCGGCGGCCATAAAGTTTCAGCCGGAAGTGATGGAGAAATCGCTTGGCGCTATACACCATGGCTCGGTGATCACGCTGCTAAAGGCGCTATGCGGCCTTTGCGACGTGTTCTACAAGTACGTATAGATCGATTTTTCTTCTTTTTTGTTTACATCAATTATTTTGAAAGAAGTTAGAAATATCTTGGTTCGTTAATGCGTTGAATAATAACTTCAAAATATGAGACTATGCATGTTTAGAAAATAAACAAAAAAAGGTGGGGGTGTTGTTGGATCTGACATTCTACTTTGGAGATGCTTTTTTTAGCTTTCTATTGAGATTTTACTTTTTTGCCTTAATCACGTGCTACTAATTGACTTTATCACGCGCTTAAAAAGAATGGGATCTAAAGGTTGGAACTTGGAGTTTAAAACAAAAGATAAAAGGTTGGAAGAGAGATTCAAAGTTGATAGTTAAATCCCAACTTACTATCATTAGATTTAGGAATAAAACATTATGTGTTTGTGGTCCCTTTCTGTGGTACATACAATATCATAGTTTAAAAAAAATAAATGCATACATCATTACTTAACCATAATACTTACATCGTAATAGAGAAAACTACAACTCACTAATCAGTCTTAATTTAAAATATCTTCACTAAATAAAGATGGTTTATGTTTGCTCTTATACATGTATTGTCATCGATCTTGTAGTTTTCTGTTTTGTTTTTTGGTTGTGGTCCAGAGTACCGTCTGAAAGGACAACATGATTACAAATCTAAGGGGATGATTGGTAAGAGCTGTGGTTGCTCTACACAGCCCAAAATCTTTCTACAGCAATTTAAAATTACCAATCATGCTCTCATTCTGTCTCTTTCCATTTTTGAAACACATAGCAATTTTTTATATTTATGGAAGTTCCGTGACTTTGGAAAGCAATTTTTCTAGAGCACCAAATTAAGTGCTCTTAGAATTTTCTCTCTTCTCTTTCTTTATTATTTTTTCAATATTTATTTTTTAATCTATTATTTCTATATCTTATCTTTTCTGTTTTAATACTATATTTAATGACACAATCTACAATAAGAAATCCTACATCACTAAAATCTATATTTACAGCCAAAAATTCTACAGCGTAAAATCTACAGCAAAAAAATTAAAGCTACAGCTACATCCAATCAGGCCCTAAAATATAATCCGGATTTGAGAGTAATAATTAAACTAATTAATATCACGAATATTTCTAGGAATAGATTATATCAACAATCCTGCAACAATTTACATTAGTCTTGTACATTGATAGTCGCTGACATCATGCTAGTGTAAGATACCGTATCAACCCATTTGGATTAATTGCTTGTGTTAGTTGTTAACTATTATTGATCACACACAATCAGGGATTGGATCCTCTAACGATATCATCAGTATTTTCATCGGCACAATTCGTCGGAGAGAAAGAAATCAATGGGAAGGATTGTTTCGTTCTCAAGTTATCGACCGACCAGATTGATTTATCACGACGCAGCGACTCTACTGCTGAGATGATCAAACACGTTGCCTTTGGTTACTTCAGCCAGAAAAGTGGCCTCTTAATTTGCCTTGAAGACTCTTCCTTAACCAGGTTAGTTAGGGTTTTTGTTAACCTAAGTGATCAAGAAGACCTAAATGATTTATTTCGTTCAACTTCGGTATGGTTTGTGTTATATGTAGGATTCAGGCACCGGGGACTCTTCCGACATACTGGGAGACCTCAATGTCGTCATGGATGGAGGATTACAAGGCAATCGAAGGTAGTGAAGTTGTGATCGCTCACTCGGGTAAAACAGATGTTTTGATATCGAGATTTGGAGAGACTCTCAAAGGAGGAATCTCTGTGACTCGAATGGAGGAGAGATGGACCATAGACGATGTTGCATTCGACGTGCCTGGCCTCTCCGTCGATTGTTTTATCCCTCCTAAAGAGATGAAGATGGAGTTTCAACACCAAGAAGCTCAAAAACATTTACCAACTTATTAGAACGAGAAGAAGGGTGTTTTTAGCTCAATTTAAAAGTTGTGGGGCCATTCTCTAACTATAAATTCCGACTTTCGTAGCCGATATTGTAAATTTAAACATAGAGAAAAAGACTGTCCGTGAAAGCAATTTGATTTTTGAGACAGCAACAAAAATGTCGCGATTTGCTTTAAGTCGTTATAGCCGTTGTTTCTCGCGCCTTAAAACTCTGCACTATCTCAATCAGCCATTCGCGCCTTCGCTTTTCTCTTCCTCTGCTGCTTCGGATCGAGATGGCGCTTGTCAGACCGGGCCGCCACCGATCCGGGTCGGACTCACCGAGTCAGCGGGTCGGGCTGTTTTCGCGACTCGTGGAATTGGTGCTGGAGATCTTATACACACGGCGAAGCCCGTCGTAGTTTGTCCTTCTCTCAATTCGATGGACTCTGTTTGCTATCTTTGCCTCAAGAAACTCATGGGTTCTCCTAAATTTCAAGATCGTGGAGTCTCGTATTGTAGCCGAGAGTGCCAAGAGAACGCAAAGGTCGTATTTTTATCTGTTTATGAGTTTGTCCTTGATGTGCTTCTATGCTGTATGGTTTCAGTATATGTCGTTGGATTTCTATTGTTCCCGAGTAAAGTAACGCTTACCATGTGTTCGACGAAATGCGTCAATTAGAAAAACACATCACTTTTTTCCCCTCTTGACATGAATTCATAACTCTATATGTGTGATTTTGAGTTCATGAGATATATAATTTTGTCTTCTGATGATTTACAGGGTTTTAATGATGTCGAAACAAGAGCAGATTCGTCAAGTTTTGCTGATTATTGTAGGTATGACAATGAACCTTGTCCTTGTGGTTTCTTCGCTTTTGCTTATGTGCATTCATTCTTTGATTGCAAGTCAGCTTCAGTTTTTCATTTCCATAAGTGAATCTTATCAAGTTCTTTTTTTCACATGAAGAAGTTTTTGGTGTGCATATGGATTGAATGAATCTGTTATCAATGTCAGTTCCGTGTTGAGTGAGTCTTATATAGTCTAGTACTTTTGGCATCTAGAGTAGTTTCAGTGGAACAAGAAAAATTGAGAATTCATACCTTAATCTCTTGCTTATGTGAAAGGCTATAAAATTGTTCCTCTAATCTTTCCTCTGGTAACTAGTAGAAAGAAAAGAAGGATAGAGTAAGATTAACATATTTCTATCGGCACTGACGATGACTACACTCTATTGTTTTTGTGTGTCAGGACGCACAACTTCAAGTACCCGCTTATGGTCAAGAGGTTGTGTTGTATGATAATATCAGGTGCTCTGCCAGCTGATTCTCTTGACATACTTCAACCTGCTGCTTTATCTTCTGAGATGATTTCAAAGGCAAGTTATTGAGCATGAAAAATAATACACTAAGAATAGATTTTGAAATTTTTGAGTAACTACGTTCCCGGAGTTTCTTGTATTCAATTTTATTGTTCATTCATAACACTATGTGAACCTCACTTGTCGCTGTAGTATTCATCTTAGCCATGTGTAAATAATAAAAATTTCAAGATGAATTCATTAGTTTCACAGATAGTCATTGGATTGCTATTGTTTCAGATAGAAGATGGTTATGGTTTGCTATGGAATGCCTTCAGGAAGGCAAATTTCAAGGATGACGATGTTGCTTGTATCCTTGGAGCTATATTCTTACGTCAAACACATTCTATCTCCAGTGTTCTGGTTTTTCATCTCTTTGTTGTTTATAGTCCTTAACATCTGGAAGTTTTAACCAAACAATGGTATACGGCCATGCTCGCCCGGATTCGTATCAATGCCTTTCGTATTGATTTGGTTGGAGGCTCTTGCGGCGAGGACCTTCTTTCACTAGCTGCAGCCGCTGTTGAAGGTGAAGGTGCAGTTGGCCATGCCGTTTACATGCTGCCATCTTTCTACAATCATGACTGCGGTAATAGTATTCACTTGTTTGTTTTTCTTTAAATGCTGTGTTTTCACGAAGAAATGCTTTCGTAAACCAATATCACAAGCTGTCTTGTTTGCATGTGATCAGATCCCAATGCGCACATATTATGGTTGCAGAATGCAGATGCAAGGTTGATGACTCTTCGTGATGTCGAAGAAGGTTTGGTCTTTTATTCTTAAGATCTGAGATTTTCTAAATTAGCATGAATCTCAATCTTGTGGGCGTTTTGCTTCAATGGTAACACTGCGTATTTTCAGGTGAAGAGCTACGGATATGTTATATAGATGCAAGCATGGGATATGAGGCTCGGCAGACACTACTCTCTCAAGGATTTGGCTTTTGCTGCAACTGTTTACGCTGCCAGTCTGGTGACTAATTGAAACATTCCTCTCTGGTCATCTTTACGTTTCTTGTTATAACCGAGAAGACGAGGAATCAACAATATAAGGAATGTATACGGCTAGAGTATGACCATTCCTGAAATAATTTGCCATCACAAACGTTGAAGGAATTTGCATTTTCATTTTTCCTTTTGTCTTTCGTCTAGTAAACCTACATATATACAGAGTAAAATGTCTAGTCATGTAATTCTAACTAAAGTCTGTTCTTTTTATCAAATGTTATATTCTAAAGAAAACTTGTGACATTTTAACAAAATACAGATACTTGAGTCCCCAAAAACTTAATAGTAAATTGATTAAAATAGCAAAAAAAACTATTGGTATAATAAAAGCTTGACAAAATAGTTGAAGAAGAAGCAACAACAACAACAACAGAAGAATCAAAAGACAAAATCAGCAAAAGAAATATCACAACAAGGTTACTTGTTAATGAGACAATTCAAAAATCAATAGGAAGGCGTTTTGTAGACATATGGTGGTGGTGGAGACTTGTACTCTACTTTTGGAGAAGGAGAGTAATATGGTGGTGGTGGAGAGCTGTAGACATATGGTGGGGGTGGAGACTTGTAGCTGACCTTAGGAGAAGGAGAGTAGTACGGTGGTGGTGGAGAGCTGTAGTCGACCTTAGGAGAAGGAGAGTAGTATGGTGGTGGTGGAGAGCTGTAAACGTATGGTGGGGGTGGAGACTTGTAGTGGACCTTAGGAGAAGGAGAGTAGTACGGTGGTGGTGGAGAGCTGTAAACATATGGTGGGGGTGGAGACTTGTAGTGGACCTTAGGAGAAGGAGAGTAGTACGGTGGTGGTGGAGAGCTGTAACATATGGTGGGGGTGGAGACTTGTAGTGGACCTTAGGAGAAGGAGAGTAGTATGGTGGTGGTGGAGAGCTGTAAACATATGGTGGGGTGGAGACTTGTAGTGGACCTTAGGAGAAGGAGAGTAGTACGGTGGTGGTGGAGAGCTGTAGACATATGGTGGGGGTGGAGACTTGTAGTCGACCTTAGGAGAAGGAGAGTAGTACGGTGGTGGTGGAGCTGTAAACGTATGGTGGGGGTGGAGACTTGTAGTCTACCTTAGGAGAAGGAGAGTAGTACGGTGGTGGTGGGGAGCTGTAACATATGGTGGTGGTGGAGACTTGTATCTACCTTAGGAGAAGGAGAGTAGTACGGTGGTGGAGGGGAGCTGTAACATATGGTGGTGGTGGAGACTTGTAGTCGACCTTTGGGGAAGGAGAGTAGTACGGTGGTGGTGGGGAGCTGTAAACGTATGGTGGGGTGGAGACTTGTAGTCGACCTTAGGGGAAGGAGAGTAGTACGGTGGTGGTGGGGAGCTGTAAACGTATGGTGGTGGTGGAGACTTGTAGTCGACCTTGGAGAAGGAGAGTAGTACAGTGGTGGTGGGGAGCTGTAAACGTATGGTGGTGGTGGAGACTTGTAGTCGACCTTTAGGAGAAGGAGAGTAGTACGGTGGTGGTGGGGAGCTGTAAACGTATGGTGGGGGTGGAGACTTGTACTCTACCTTAGGAGAAGGAGAGTAGTACGGTGGTGGTGGGGAGCTGTAAACGTATGGTGGAGGTGGAGACTTGTAGTCGACTTTAGGAGAAGGAGAGTAGTACGGTGGTGGTGGGGAGCTGTAAACGTATGGTGGTGGTGGAGACTTGTACTCTACCTTAGGAGAAGGAGAGTAGTATGGTGGTGGTGGGGAGCTGTAAACGTATGGTGGTGGTGGAGACTTGTAGTCAACTTTAGGAGAAGGAGAGTAGTACGGTGGTGGTGGGGAGCTGTAAACGTATGGTGGTGGTGGAGACTTGTACTCTACTTTGGAGAAGGAGAGTAGTATGGTGGTGGTGGGGAGCTGTAAACGTATGGTGGAGGTGGAGACTTGTAGTCGACTTTAGGAGAAGGAGAGTAGTACGGTGGTGGTGGGGAGCTGTAAACGTATGGTGGGGGTGGAGACTTGTACTCTACCTTTGGAGAAGGAGTAGTATGGTGGTGGTGGGGAGCTGTAAACGTATGGTGGAGGTGGAGACTTGTAACTAACCTTAGGAGAAGGAGAGTAGTATGGTGGAGGTGGAGAGCTGTAAACATATGGTTTTGGATGTGGCGTGTACTTTGGACCTTGTCTTCTGTATTGTGGTGGAGGAGCTGGTGATGCCGAGTAGGATGGGGAATACTTTTTGGGTGGATATGGTGATTTGTGTTGATGGACCGGAGAACTGTATTCTGGTGTTGGAGGAGATGAGTATGGGTAGGCTGTAGCCGCAATGGCACTTAAGACCACGATATAAACCATGCAATGCCCTAACCCAAACATTTTTGAGGATCTCATCTTACCCATATCTACTCTTTTTAGTTATTTCTTTTGCTTATGATGATATAGTTCAACATGAAAACCCTTTATATATAGTTGCTTTTCTTTGTGTATATACATTATACTATCTCCTACTTGAGTTCGTGTGTGGCACTTCCCAACATATTTAGAGAACGTGCTAAGTTGTTTTTTTGTTTGAAAGAGACGTGCTAAGTTGTTTGTTGAGAAATAGTGATTTGTGGGAAACATACATATTATTTAATTGATTCTCTTGCAACTTTCAATAATTTTAAGATGTTTTTTGTTTTTTTTGATTTATGTAAACAAAATCAATTAAAAAGAACAAAAGAAGCCTTTGATCGATGATTATTTAGCCACAAAATATATATGTTTTATAATGAATTAATGTGAGGAAAATAATTTTGGTAACACATATATTTACTTTTATATAACATGATGGATCCAAAGTAAGATTCTTTGAATGATAAAACACTAATTAAAATTATGAAATGAAGTGGTTATGGCCATATGGGAACATCGTCGGTTGACATAATATTGTTGATTTTTATATATTTGGTTAGTCCGAGCCATGTCTACTTAATTGTCTACTTGTGTCCAATGTATTGTTCATCATCGCTTTCTATGATTATTTGTAACATATATGACCTTGTACATGTATAGGTTCCTCGTAATGCGTTGGGCTATTTTTGTTTTTGTAACAAGAAACGAACAATAGTACAACACTATTGTTAATTGTTACACCAAAAATAGCACTATTCTTTTCTGTTCTCTCGTTTTCCCTTTTTTCTGGTTAAACTATATATCACTGTTTTTGTTCTGATCGCTTTTTTATCAATGGCCTTTAGAGTTTAGACCGACCAAAATAATTATGAGATACATCATCCCATAGAAACTCATTAGCGAGGCGTTTAGACCCATTGTATCGCACGATTGGCGATTTCATAGGGGAAGCTCTTCTCTTGCGTTCATTATTCTCGGTATTGCTAAACTAACAAATCCATCGTTCATATGGCACTTTGAAAACATTTAACACAGTCGTACGCCTAAACGCACAAACAAAAACCAACTACAAACATAAAAAAAAATCGTGCAGATGAGGAAACAAAGATGTGACATATCACATTTACCATCTAACTAATATTAATTTGAGGGATCCACCTGAAAAGTTGTACTATATGTTAATTCATGGTTGTTCGAAAATTATCATAAGAAAAAAGTTGTACTTAGATCACGAGGGAAGATTTTAAGGCACAGCCTCATAGGCAATAAAAGTCTTGAGCTATCGCTACTTTAAAATACAAATAGGAACCTTGAAGATAGATCCACATATACCATCTTGACATCAAATAAATGCATTTTTTTTTAAAAAGACATCAAATAAATGTACTAAAGCTCTTCACAAATCCTTGACATGACATATCAATGAAGGTAGAAATTATCAGCACAAATCCGAACACGAGTTTTAGTACATTTATTTGATGTCTTTTTTTTTGGGTGAAAATCAATTGATCTTTTTTCTAAGAAAAACATTTTCACGGTTATATTTTAGCTTTTAATTAAAATGGATACTAATTATTAACCAAGATAAAATGTGCGTGTATATACAGGTATCATAATTAAAAGTCATTTATATATGTAGATACCCCAACGGGAATTAAATGCAAGAAGTATAGAGAAGACCGTACTTGCAAGTTGCGAATTTAACATACAAAGACAGAGTATGCACTTGTCACTTGACTTCCGCAATTCGACAACTACCAAAAACCTAACTCAACAATTTTTCTCACTTCTCTCTTCTTAGCCTCACTACCCTCTCCATATCAAATGAAGACTCATGACTTCATGAACGTCGACACTTTCTCTCCAAGGGAAAGACCCATTCGTCTCTTTGGCTTCGAGTTTGGAACTTCTCATGAAGAATCTGAGTCTAAAGAAAATTACTACGAGGACAATAAAAGCATCAACGAAAGCTGCAGTATCAATAACGATAACAAAGACAGGAGATTCAAGTGCCACTATTGTTGCCGGAACTTCCCTACTTCACAAGCCCTAGGCGGCCATCAAAACGCTCACAAGAGAGAGCGTCAACAAACCAAACGCTTCCACCTCCACTCAAACGCAGCCGCTTTCTTCCACCGCCACCAAGACCACGTTCCTTCTTTTAAGTTCTTTGATAATCACTTTAGCCTTGAAGCTGCTCGGATCAACAGCGCGAAATTAGGGTTATGGCGTAGGTATAACTCATCAGCAAGATTTAATCGTGACCGCTCATCTTACAGTAGATATATGCCTTTGTTCATCGGCGATCACCAGACCAGACCGTGGTATGTTGGTGGTGGTAGGAGCAAGGATGATCTGTTTTACGAGTCCAAGACGAATGTGCCGGACCACGTGAGTTTGGACCTACGCCTCTAGTTCCTTTTCAAAATATCTCGATTTCTTCTTTTTACTAGTGTTTTTTTTTTAACCTAGCTATATATGATATATGGTAATTAATCACTCATAGACATCATATGTTACGGTTTTAGGTCATGCAGATTAAATAAAGAACTCTGCTTCTACATCAATTACTTTAAATAAAATCAAAGCGTTTACAAAATCTTGTGTCCAAGTTTAACCGAACAATCGAGAGTTTATTGGATTGTATAGTTTAAGACATTCTACCATGTAACTTCCAAATAGAACTTACCATTGAGCCTTCATCTCAACAAAACCACTTTATTCAACCATGTAACTTCCAAATGGCTAAAAAGTAGTTAGAATTCAAGTGCATCATGAGACCGAAGGTGACCAAATTGACATGTTATGGTCATTGGCCCGAAGAACTTACGCTTCGAATTTCTTGGTTAGTAGTTAGAAATTAAAAATCGCAATATATCTTCGCAACGTGTATATTTGATATGGAAATATGTTTTGGTTGGTTCTGGAATGTTCACGCCAGTAACATTAACTCTCAAATCTAAATCGGATCGTTAAAGGGTCCCAAGTAATATACATCAACACGAAGTTTAGCTTGAACAGATTTACATGTTTATCTCTTGCCTATAGTCTACAATAAGACAAACCAACATTAATGTTCTTATCTGCTCGAATTTTTCATGTATGTATTATGTATAATGCCTGTATTGTATGAAGGGATTATTTTAGAACTCAGTTTCAGTCAAGAAATAGACATGGGACAAAATATTCCAAGAAATAGACATCGGACTAAACGCTATAAAGACGTGTTTCGAAATTTACTTGCATATGAACTGAGAAATTTAACTAGAATGTTGTATTTTTCTTGAATCTATGATATTCGGGGAAACCAAACATCAGATCCTAGTTGCTTTACAAACCAATTATTGATGTCTGATGTGAGAAAAGACCATGGTGGGTCATGTTATTGTCCTATACTATTTTAAATTTCAATCTAACTTCGATTGTACAAAGTACATAGTAAACCTTTCGAAATAAATAAAGGAAATTTCACGTCCCTCAAAATTAAATGGGATTGAAAAAAGACAAACGATACCAAAATTACATTACCTAAATATACCCAAGAAAAGGATGTCCCGTTTCATATTTGATTTTGGCTCACCCTTTTCCACATCTACTTTTGGGTGTAACATAAAATAAGTTCTTAGATAGTTAGATTCCCTTCTATGTACTATGTATAACATGATGAATTTGTTATGTCAAACATTTAAACACTAATTCCAAAATCTACAAATTTGTAAAAATGGACAAATCCCAAGTGTGGAGAAAAAAATAATGGTAAAACGACATCAATATTACATAATGCTATGTCGTTTGAATTCCTTCACTAAAAATAGAAGAAAGCGGAACATTGGGTTCAGTAAAAACTAAAAAGTATTAACAGTTTTACCGTCGAAGGAGATTCCTTTCCAATCAAATCACTGAGCTTCAGATTTTCAGGAAAATCAATCTCTGAGTTTGCAAAATGGCGACGGCGATACCACTCTTCGCCTCTTTCAAGTACGCCGATAGTCTCACCGTCGTCGGAATCTCCTTCTGCACGGCGTTGGTCTGCGAAGCAATCTCATGGATCCTAATCTACCGCACGAGCTCCTACAAATCCCTGAAGTATTCCATCGACAAGGCCTCGAAGAAGCTCGAGACGATGAAGACTGATAATCCTTCCTCGAAGCTAAGCATCAAAAAGTCCAAGACGAAGAAGATCGATCGCGTCGAGACCAGCCTAAAGGAATCGAGCCGGGATCTGTCGCTCTTCAAGTTCAAATCCGGCGCCGTCGTGGCTCTCGTTCTCTTCGTCGTCTTCGGGTTGTTGAACTCGCTCTTCGAAGGGAAAGTCGTCGCGAAGCTTCCTTTCCATCCGATCACGATCGTGAGGAAGATGAGTCACAGAGGACTGAAAGGCGAAGATTCCACTGATTGCTCCATGGCTTTTCTCTATCTGCTCTGTTCCATCAGCATAAGGACCAATCTCCAGAAGTTCTTAGGCTTCTCTCCGCCGAGAGCATCTGCCGGTACTGGTGGATTGTTCCCAATGCCGGATCCAAAGACGAATTGAATCGATCAGGTCTCATCTGATTCTGAAATTTTCATGGATAACTGCTGATTTAGCGTTTGTTTTAGTTGATGAGAAACACTGTCAAAGTTCAAGTTTTTTTATTTTCTTTCTTGTTCATCATTGCAACTTTCTACTCATTTCTTCACTAAAGGCTTGAGTTTTCTTGCATATGGATTGTTCTGAGATTGAAATGAGAGGTTGATGAAAGATGACGATTTTATTTGCCTTCACAGTATTATCAACAAACAAAAAGTGAAGCAAGGAATTTAGAATTGCAGACAATTTCATAAACTATAAATCACGGATCTCAAACTAGAATCACACTTTAAGAAGTCTCAAGATGATGGATTTGTTGAGTCTCTGATACCGAGTCAGATACAACTGAAATAGCTCCTTGGGATTTTCTCAACTTGGCAACGAGAACCCACATGTTAGCAAGTTCGTTCTCTAGATAGGCTTCTCTCTGTTTCGACTCTTCTACTGTTCTTTGTAGCTCGGCTTCTCTTTGAGCTTTCTCAACGAGAACAGTTTCAAATATAACTTCACGTTCTTTGATCATGCTCAGTTCTCTCTTGAGTTCCATCATCGAGCTGTCTTGCTCTTTCTTCTTTAGAAGACTCTCTCTCTTTCCATTCCTCGGGCTTCCTGTCTTCCCCCGTGGTGTAACGAAGGTCTTATGCGCTGCTGCTGTCATATCAGCTGCTAGTCTCTCGTTGTGATTCATAAGTCTTGCTACTTCTTCAGACAATGCCTTGAGCTCAACAGCAGCCGCTGAAGCAAGCTCTTTTGCATATGAACTCTCTTCAGCGAGTTTCTTGTTTTGGAGTTCTAGTTGTTCCTTCAAGTCGCTTAGTTCCGCAGCTTTCATTTTAAGCTCCTCAATCTGAAATGCCTGGTCATGTCTCAATTAGATAGTGGATAAAATGTTCAGTTTTTCACATAAAAATGTTGTGAAATATATGGAAATTCCACCTGGGCTTGTATGACTTTTTCCTCGTCTTTGTTTGGGGTTTGAGGAGATTGTTGCATTTGACTTGTGACGGGGCTGATATCTACCAGTTCCAGGGCGTCAGAGAGCTGATGCTTTAGGTTTACAACCTCTTCTTTCAACGCTTCACATTCACTTGTCTGCAGAAAAGAGTCGATCAGTTACAGATTTCTGACATGTCTGCACACTAGTTTACGGTTTCCAAATACGCTGGATTTGGCAAGAGAGACGAGGTAGAATCTGAACCTTTTGGTTGAGTTGTTCCTGAATGATGCGATTATCGGCAGCTTTGACCTGTAAACAAAGTGAAAAAGTATCAGGCAGGTTATCGCGAAGCCATCTTTGGTGCAGAATCAAATTCAGAGAGAGTTTCAGCACCTCGAGTTCAAAACATTTCTCATTTAGTTGAACCCTCATTTCAGAAACAGCCTGAAGATAAGAGAGAAAATCCAACATCATGGATAAATGCCAGAACAAGAAGCACAAGGTCACTGTGTGATGTTTGAGAAGGATAAATCACCTGGATGATATCAGATTTATCCAATGCATCATGTGATGCTATAACAAAATCCAAAATTTGTTTCCCTAACTTAGCAATCTGGTCGTTCTTTGCCTTGATGTCGCCACTGAGGTTTTCGATCTCCTCCTGTATAAATCCAAAACAACCAGGAAGGTAAATATGTGCTAGACTTGATTGAAAATTTGATAAAGATCATGAACAGAACCGAAGGATTACTTTAATTTCTTCATTTTGAGGAGCTTTGGCAGCCTCCTCTGACAGTCGTTTAAAAGAATTTGATTGTAGCTCCATCTCCTCAGATAATTTGTTTTGCTGTTCCCTCAGCATTTCCATCTGGTCGATCATTTTTATTCTAGTCTGGGAAAAAAAAACAAAATGCATTAAAAAATCGTGCATCAATTGTTTCAAAGTAGGCTCAAGAAACCCAATTGATGAAAATGGAATGGGCTATCAGACGTGAGAAAATGTCAATGCACCTCAGGTGTCTCTATCTCATGAGAACTGTCTTCGTGAGCTTCTTTATCTTCCCTAGGCTCTAAGAGTTGATGTTGATCTGCCAACGGTGAGCCTTCTGAAAGTCTTGATTCTGTATGAAAATTACTGGCTTCCCTTTGAGGAGTTGACGGTGTACTGTTGGACTGGTCGCTGAGGCTTGATCCCCCCAACGAGTCTTTTTTCTGATAGTAAAACAGTAATGAGATGGCAAGAGAGGTACCACCAGAAATAAAATAAAAAATCAAGTAATGATACCTCATGCACACCAGGAGCATATTCTTTTGAAACACTCGACACATAGTATGACACTATTTCCAACAGTACTAACTATTATATGGGGTTATGATGTTGAGGGACATGGTCTAAATCAAACAAGAACAGCCATGGTAAAAGTCTATCAAAGCCATATAAATTCTAGAATCATATAATGTACCTTAAGTTTCAACCATTTCAGCAGTCCATGCTTCCTCGTCTTCTTTTCATCTCTAAACGCATCATCCACAATCTCAGGATTCCCTTCCCGAGAGACATAGAATTCAAGGTTCTCATCATCCATCAAGTCCCGCCTCTTGTATGGTAGGTAAGCCAGCTGGCCATGCATTAACCAAGATCAGCCAAAAATAGTAATCAGCAGACATATCGTTTAGTAAGATATTTAAACCATCCTAATAAAAGGACAGGCAAAGGATGTGCAAATGGCTCAGGCTAAACACGTGATTCTACCTCCTCATCTCCAAATGAGTGTCTCCTCCGAGGATCAGCACGATAAGAAAGCCGCGATGTTTGTGGAGTTTTAGTAGACACGAGAATTAATTTTGTCAGCCGTTGGATTCGACTCATGAGAGCTGCTTTAGCATCTTCCTCTTCTTCTAGCTTTTATAATCACAGCAAAAGAAATGCACGCAAAGCAGATTTCAAATCTCCAATTACAGTAAAGTATCAATGGTCCGTCGCAAGTGTTTATGCAGATATACATGAGTGACAGAAAAACATACTTTCTGCCTCAGGAGAACAATATGATCTTCACTAATATCCTTTAGCTGAGAAACTGGATTAATTCCTTGTTTAAGCTGTATCAATTCCTCCTTGAGTTGGCGAATCTCGTATTGGTATTTCTTGATCAATGACTTCTCATCAATTATCTGTATGTTTCTAGGGTTAGAAATTCTAGATAGAACCTTCATTACAGAAATGAACTGGGTGAGAGAATAGATGTAACTAAGACCTTGTTCTGTGCGGCTTGAATCTCGATATGCTTTGCACGATGGGCAAATTTCAAAGTGTTATGTGTTTCTTCAGTGCAGCTTGATGCAGGAGTCACTGTACATATGAGCTACAATATCCAGATGTAGCAATCAATCAGTTAAGTCGATCAAATGAATTGTTTTCTGCTCCCAATGATCATGTTATGTGTGGCACTTATTGCAACAAGAAACTAAAACAGATCTCTATAACACTTACAGATACACGTCCATGACCACTCAATGAGGACTGAAGCAGCCTGGTTAATTTAGAGTCCCTATATGGTACATGACTAGCCTTCCTATCTGTAAGCTTTGATATTACCTACAAAATTACAACAACAAAAAAACACCCAATTCAGCATATGGGAGATTATTTAACATAATGACTGGAAGGCGAAAACCAACCAAGGTTTCAAAAGAATATGTCAAAAATTGTTCCTGAATTCAACTAAACTATTGTTGCTGAGGGAAAACATTGATAACCAAAGAACTCACAGTTCCTAAAGTCAGCAAACTTTTATTTATATAAGATCCTTCCTTGCGCCTTAAACCACTAGTTGCAGCCTTTGAACTCTCGGAACCTGCCAGGTCAATGAGGTTCTGCAGATATAAGCGAAATTATGGGCAGTTAATCAGTTGTTCACCTTTAAGTTTTCAGCCAGTGCAACTACAAACAGTTTTTCGGAGTTGAATATGCTCCGAAGTTGAAGAAAAAGTAAACTATAACTAAACATAAAATCACAGGATAAAAGCAAAGCTACGTACCAGCTGTGAGAGGTGTACAGCTTGACCTTCATTATTGTCACCGAGTGGACTACTCTCAATGGTCTGCAACCAAACCAGTATTAACATCTTTCAGAGATGGTATAGGTTTACTGGTAAACAAACTTGAGAATTAAGATGGAATTTTTTGCTAAATGTTGCGATGAGAGGAAAGCATGATATAGCAAGTGCACAAAGAAAGAAGTCTCTCCATGCTTTATAAGAGAAATAAATATACCAGGGTAAACATTGTATGGCTCCGGCTGCTTAGCAAATTAAAATTTGTGGATCCAATGTGCCGGTGCTCTGTCATCAAACAAAATGTTTTATCAAGAGGACTTGCATGATAAGGAAGAGAATGAAGAAAATAGTATAGTTTCACGAGAAGGATTAAGATTGTAAGGAAACTAGTGGAATCAAGAAGAGAAAACTAGTCTTTAATATTGCTATATCACATCATATAAGAGGAATGCATATTCTGAAAAAATAAAATGACTGGGACAGTGCTGGATTTGTTAAGTTAATATAGCAATCCTTTTCAATTACAGATAAACGTGGAGGGTATACCTTCTCCAGCTGCTATAAGAGAAAGCGCATGAGCAGGGGATAGCACAACTTCTTCTTTAATCCCTTCAATAAAGGTTCCCTACAATCGGCAATAAAGAGAGGTTCAGTGCAGAATCTTAGAGGAAAAGACACCCAAAGCAATAGAAGTAGTCAAGTTTATACTAAATTCTTAGGCCGTACATAATTTAATAGTATAAACTTCAACTCTAGTATACTCGAATAAGAAATGCGATCCAGAACACTAAAACAATAAGAAATGCCACTTTTCATATTGTATTTGCAGGATCTCACAGAAGTTCATTTTATAAGAATATGGAACATATCCGTATGATATGTTTTGAGACTGAAATCAGCACTATGCATGTTACCAAGAGAAAAGTAAATAAGAGGATCCAAAACTGAAACAAGTACCTGCTCATCTTCT